CAAACAGAAATGCAATTTGCTATATGCATCTTGTCTATATAGATATCACATTTTTTATTAATTTATTAGATATAGTCTAACCATTGACAACTAAACTATATTCATCTACTTATCCGACAATTTGATATATCGTGTCGACTGAGGAGGTCGTGTTAAGTTTCACTGTGTATATATGTGCAGGACTATCACATTGCTGTACTTACTGCTTATGTAAACTGTTTCGTGTAAGAGTGTGTCCTTCACAAATAAACTGAAATAAAAGTATTCATAAAAAAAGTGTTTTTCATCAGTTGCTGCCCATCTGTCACGCTGGTAGAAAAGACCCTAGTACCGTGTTAGAGCCGACTAACATGGGGATAGGGCGGGCCTTCTCTGATTTAGCTCAGTGTGTCTTTTCATAACTCGGCTGCATATTATGCACTCGAAAGACTGGCATAAACTATTTTCAGGCCGCATTATTACAGCTGGAAAACTGCTTACGGCGGCGTAAAACAAATAATACATTCACACAGAACCATAAGGGTCCCAAGGCTGAATCATTTGGATATCTCACCAAGTTTTATCCAGATTAGTAAGGTCATTTTCAGAGAATGAGAGTGACATAAGTAAAAGATATAATATTATATATTTAATATAGTTTTAACAATATATATATATATATATATATATATATATATATATATATATATATATATATATATATATATATATATAATGTTGAAAATTCCAAAGGGCTATGAAAAATCGCCAAATATCCCAAGGGTGTATCAATGAATGAATGATCTTGACCAAACACCTTGCAAGGCGGCGCCATCATACCCGTAGCTCATGCCGCAGTCAGTAATATTTATATCTATGGATAATCTTGATATTATGCCATGTGTAAAACGTAACCCGCCCATGCTTTTGTAGGTTATGTTCATACATACGTCCATGGTCGGTTAGTTGTTTAACGCCGCACTCAGCAATATTCCAGCTATATGACGGCGGTCAGTAAATGATGGAGTCTGGACCAGACAATCCAGTGATTTATATCATGAGCATCAATCCACGCAATTGGGATCGATGACATGCATCAACCAAGTCAGCGAGTCTGACAACCCGATCCCGTTAGTCGTCCCTTACGACAAACGTAGTCGTCTTTTACGACAAGAATGGGTTGCTGAAGTCCTATTCTTCCCCGATCTTCACGGGCCAAGTCAATGGGGACACTTTCTACCCAGGACCCCCAAAGGATCAAGGGCTCGCTGAAGTTCGATTTTTTAAATATTAGATCTCTACAGGACTTGATTTTTTTTACCGGAGAGCGGAAGGTCCGGGGTTCGATCCCCGACCGCGTCATACCAAAAGACGTCAAAAGATGGTACTTGTTACCCTGTTTGGCGCTCGGCGTTAAGGGGCTAAAACAAGGACTGGTCGGCTCGGAGTCAGTATACTGTGTCTGAGTGGGGTATTCATGTTAAACTGCGGCATGGTATCTAAATGAGCTAGCACTATAAATCGGCATCAGTCCGGCCTAGTACAAGCAGTCACACACATACATACACGTGCCTGCACGTCGCTATATAAGTGCAATAATCTTGGACGCGACGTTAAACCCCATTTTCACCTCACCTCACTTTATTTTGTTCTTAAGCCAATAAGCGAGATTACTTTTCTGCTAAGCCGGTGATCAATGAAAAGGAGATGCTAGTTCTCTCAATAACTGTCCTCACATCACCTTGCATCACTTTGGCCTCCTGCCAACATTAAGCTGATACGGCTCTATGGCTCAACATACTTTTTAAGTCCTTGTTATGATATATTCTTTTAAAAAATGATTCCCTTCTCAAACCCGGGATTAATTAACTAAATATTTCCACAGTGTCACTTGGTGATGACGGACATTCGTTTTGCAATATAAAATATAATTCAATTCACAAAAATGTGTGTCGCCAGCGGGGTTCGAACACGGAAGACCGCACCGAAGGCTAACGAATGTAGTACTTAATTAAATAGTCGCCAACATCAAGACTAATAAAAAGTCTGTTTGTCAATGGGGATATGTTTGCTTTATTCAGTATGTTATTCTGTACATTTGACATTCAATATATCCTGCATAAGACGCGCGCCGCCAATACACACCAGCTTCTAGTCTCTAATACCGTGATACGAGGGGCGTTCAAAGAGTTTTGCAACTTCAATATAAGACCAAGTCGCAGAATATCTTTTGCACTTTTATTTTTCAATATAATCACAGTTAATATATACAGTTCAATCTCCCACCCTACCACCCAGATTTAGCCCCAAGTGACCATTTCCTGTTCCGGCAAATGTAAGCTACCCTACGTTGAAGACGCTTCCAGGATGACGAGGACATAAAGGCTGCCACAGAGGCGTGGTTAGAGGGCCAATCTGCGGATTTCTATAAAAGTGGTATTAAAGCTTGAAGGACAAATGGAATAAGTGTATTGAACGCCCCTCGTATGTTGGTGAATGATAATGACTGAAATATTTGGGAGGTACTCTTCTGGTTCCATGTAAAAATATAAACAAAATAGGGGTACAAATTTGCATCCAAAATACTAACATATACCGAACATATTTTCTCATTTTGACATTTTGAACGTGTTGCATACTCCGATTGCATGGATCATTGCTCATCAATCAATGAATTCTCACCTGAGCATGGAGTCTGAGCATCCCCAGGAACTTCATCTTCTCTACCTTCTCCGTGTTCCTCCATAGCGGCCTGGAAATTCTCGAATTGCTGGAACTTCTCCATCTTCTCCCTCCTCTCTCGCATCCACATGACCACCTGTTCATGATGCTTCCGCGCTTGTTCCTCCTGCCACTGCCTCACGACGTCGTATATTTGTGATGAAGTCTCCACCAGGAGAAGGGTCCGGGTCGGTCCCAGGGTGCAGCATGTCTGGTATGTCTCTTCCGGTCATCCTGACCTTCACTCATCTTCCATATGTTCCTCGAGGCTGTACCACTTGAGATTCTGGCTGCTACACCATGTGCCAACCCTCGAGCTCACCGTCAGCGTCCTGAGGTCACCAACCACACAAGCTTACTACCGTCGTCAGCTTCAGCAACCCATGCTTGCCGTAAAAGGCGACTATGCTTGTCAGTTAACACTTAAACCCGACCTGGGAACTCACCACTTGGTCTATCTGTCGAGCAATAGCCAAGCCACAATTGCATAACATCAGCCTGTACTTGGCTGTGAGCTTACCAGGGCTTACATATAGACAATGTGAAGTGAAGTGTGTAATTGGTCAGTGTTGATCACTGGCAATCTGTACACAAGCAACATAATTTATAAAAAGGTATCAATATACATTTCATGAAAACAAAGTACATTTAAAATAGTCTTCATGAAAAGTAAATATACATATATAATGGATTCTCATAACACAACCAACCCTCGTCAGACGACTTTTCATTCTATATGGTACTATGTATTTTTCAAAGTTTGAAGGTCAAGGGGTTCGATCCCAGACCACGTCATACCAAAAGACGTTAAAAGATGGTACTTGTTACCCTGTCTGGCGCTCGTCATTAAGGGGCTAAAACAAGGACTGGTCCGCTCGGAGTCAGACACACGTCACTATATAACATTATAAGTGCAATAATCTTGGATGCGACGTTATGCCCGATTTCACCTCACCTTCAAAGTTTGAGATATGTAATATCTGTTTGTCTCAAAGTGGCGCGTTAATGGATCACATTAATACTATGTAATATAGGCATGTTCATAATATAATCTCATAGCACCAACTTACATGACATATCTCGGGTTTCACCATGTTGCGCAGTGGAACTAAATGTATTTGAGCGTGGTATATTTTACAATGAAAACTAATCTAAATTTGAATTACTTACCTGTGATTTGTTTTGTTTGTTTGTTGTTTAACACCGCACTCGGCAATATTCCAGCTATATGAGGGCGGTCTGTAAATAATCGAGTCTTGACCAGACAACCCAGTGATTGACATCATGAGCATCGATCCACGCAACTGGAGTCGCTGACGTGCATCAACCAAGTCAGCGAGCCTGACCACCCGATCCCGTACTTACCTGTGAAATGACCAGGAACAAAATGTGAATACCTATTTAACTATGGATGATCTACAAGGAACTCCCTAATGTGAGAAAAAGACGACTAAACTTGAGTTAAAGCAACTCAATATCTAATACTAATGCTAATTGTCTGAGTATGTGTACCGTCACCCCAACTGGCTGAGAGTATGTCTACGTTACCCCTACGGGAGTAACCAGTATAGTCCTTTCCAATAAGTTCTTAGCTCCCCCTGATTAATTATCCCCCCTTGCGAACTCTTCCGAAAACAGAGATAAAAGGCCCTATCACGCGCTTGACGTTCACTTCCGGAGAGGTTTTGGAAAATGAACGAAACGAGAACGAAACAGCGGCATTATTGCACTGTCTGCTCACATTATAGAGGGAAGGGGGTAGATGGACGGGTGGTGACATGGCATAGGTTTCCAGAGAATGAATAACTGAAGAAAGCGTGGAGTTGACGGCACAAGTTGACGGCACCACCCAGCGCCAATGTTAGGAACACTTCAAGGATGGTCATTTCAGACGGCGTTTAATGCCATCCATTTTCGGGGGAAAACGTTCAACACGTATCAGGTTAAGTCTGCATAAACAATATATTACATAAAGTACATGTTATTTAATGATGCATGTATACCGTTAAAAGACCAAGTACTTTTCAAAATGATAATCATTACGAGATTGTTAAAAAATCAAGCAGAATTAGAGAATAATATTGGAATTATTCACATATTTTTAGAAACTTCAAAATGTAGAAAATGTATTATTTCGGAGTATGTTTACTTGTATAGAGAAAATACATGATTGCAACGAACATGAGTAATCTGAAATTAGATCTATTACTAATGTTTATCCTGAGAATGGACATCAAGGATCTGATTGCATTTGTTGTAATCATAGTTATTATTATAGCTTTTATCTTATAAATCTTCAGTTTGATTCAAACTCAGACGAGTGTACCATACAAAAGGAGGCCCAAGCACCAGTAGCTGAGCAATCCAGGGACAGTGACAATGGGAGTGAGCATTCTGTGTCCGACCATCAGCTGATTGATATCAAGTCCTCAGGATCAAGTGTGGAAACTTCAGTTGTCATGCATGACTATTGTGGACAAATTGAAGACCATGCCACAAGTCATCTTGTAAACAAGTGTGAACAGGCTAATTGTTATCCTTCAGACATTGATGCATCCACTCAGACAGATATATTTGATAATTTATATGTGACTGTGGCAACTCAAAACCAAAAATGATAGATCTGGAAATTCAGTGAAGTAAGCATGACGAATAATTTAAACAAGTCTGGTTCATGTAACTGGACAAAACTATTAAAGCATACTGTGGTTCAATGTCATTGATGTGTTGGTGTAAATAAAATCGACGAAACCCTTTCTATATTCATAACATTCACAAACTGACCATGCAGTAAGCATGCTCAGGGGAAAAGGCTGTGACTGATAGTGTAGTGTTTATGGTAGGTTGAGCAATAAAATAAGATGACTTAAGCTGCATTTAATTACGTACATGAATTATACTTAAAAGGTAAAATACAAGACATATTCAAAATATGTAACTGCCACATATCCATGACAGTATATTTAGCCAAATTGTGCAAATTGACGGTTTTATATAATAATATGTATGTAAATAACATATGTTTGAACAGAAAACTGTACTTTTTGTATTTTATTACCCCGTAACTCTCATTTTCCGTGTGATCCAGAAATTGAGCTGTAGTCTTCGCTGCACAAAGGATATCCACAGGTAGCTGAACAATTCTTGCCAGGTCTCTAGTTTTCGTCAGTCTTTTGCACCTTTGAATCGCAGCCATCGGACGTTGAATCTGGGTTTCCTTCTACCCCATACTCAGTGTACTCGCCTAGAAGTTTGGACAAATCCGAATCGGAATCATCTCAGTTGTAGTTAGTACGAGAGAATTTGAACGCTTGAATATGTATCCGTAAAAGGTTAGGAATGTCTGGACCAGAATAGATCTTCAGCAACCCGTGCTTGCCATAAAATGCGACTATGCTTATCGTAGGAGCCTACTAACGGGATCGGGAGGTCAGGCTCGCTGACTTGGTTGATGCATGTCATCGTATTCTCAGTTGAATGGATCGATGTTCATGATGTAAAAACTCGATTATATACAGACCGCCGTCATATAGCTGGAATATTGCTGAGTGCGGCGTAAAACAACCAACCAACCAACCTTCCTCTTCGAGTTTGATATATGGGGCGAAACTACGATGTAACCGGCTTCAGATTTTGTTAAAAAGTGGCAGGATATGTTCATATCCGCTTCACTCTAACGTGTTACCATGTTTGCTTTAGATTGTTTGCAGAGATTTCTATTGGAAATGGAAAGGATTCTGTCGGAGTATTTACATTTATATTCATGTATCTGTCTCATATAATGTATCTTCAACACTGGAGGAAAAAAAAAGACAATCTTTGTTATGGCGGTAGGGCAGTACTATGTTTAGGTGCTTGCTGGTCACGCCGTACCCTGGGTCGATTCCAATCATCGGTAAAATCTGTGAATCTCATTCCTGACGATTTGTCAGGCATTTTTGCTAAGAGCGGGGAAGCTCCGTGAAACCATTCTTATCGTAACTCATGCTTATCGTAAGAGGCGACGAACGGGATCAGGTGGTCAGGCTCACTGACTTTGTTGATGCATGTCATCGTATCCCAATTGCTTAGATCGATTATTTACAGACCGCCTTGACACAGCTGGGACATTGTCGAGTGCGGCGCTAAACAACAAACAAACAAACAAACAAACAAACAAACAAGATCGGGTACAAGTGTACCCAATTGCCTATTCGAACTAGCCGTTAACCAAACCTTTCCTAATCGCCCAGATTATTGTTATGTTGATCAATATGAAACAGAGTAAGAGTGTTTTGTCACTTGAAGGAATTTCAGTTATATAAGAACATGTCAGCTAAATGTGAAAGGAAATTCAAAGTTTACCACTTTGGTGAAACCCAGGGACATGGTCCCCTCGTACAGACCAGGGGTCGTAATCAAAGAGTATCCTGGAATTCGTCATACAAACACCGAATGGCGGTTCCTTAGCCTCGATGGCCAACGCACCTATTATGCCACATGGATAGATGAACATTTACCTTGATCTTATGATTTTTTTTTTTCAAAAAAACCCCCACCATTCATCTACATCTCTTAATCTCGTTTATGCATCCTCTAAACAAGGCTGATCGGTAAGTACTCACTCTATCGTACGCTATCAGTTACGCTAGTGTCACATGGCACTAAAACAGATGTTGTGACGTCGACCAAGTAACCCCTATTGCAATATTCAGGATATAAATGAACCCTGCGTCACTCCATCATTTGCACTGCGGGCACCATGGCAGTGCAGGTATATGTTGTGGCAGCACTGATAGCTTCGGCCTCTGCTCTGATTGCACCGATGAAGAAACCAGATGGGACTGTGGACTTGGAGAGTGTCCATACCCACATCCTGCTGCTGGAACAGATGTTCGCTAGCCTGGCTAAAGCATCTGAAGTGGAGACCCTTAAGTCCAAAGTTAGGACTTTGAAGTCTGAAACTAGACGTCAGATACAGGCCGTCAACGCCACCGTCATGGAAACAAGATCTGCCGTGCAGGAAGCCAAAGTGTACAGTAAGTGAATCTCTAACATTTTCCTTCTTCCCAAGTACGTACTATTACTTTTCTGTACAGATTTGTACCATATTGTCCCAGGGTTATGACAGGAAAGGACACTGGGGATGGTAGCAGGATAGGGATGAGGGTTGGATGTGGGACATCTACATTTCACATTTGATGTGGAAGGTAACTGAGTGAACGAGGCATTGGTAAGCTGTACTGACATAATACGCAAGGTTTCGCTGAAACAAAGACCCTTTGTGAATATTTAAATTTGTAAACTGTTAGACGACGGGAGTTGTTAATAATTAATAATGTAGTTGTTTAGAAAATTCAATTAAACTTGTTTATGTAGAAAACTTAGTAATACTTTATAGCTTTAATGGAACATCCTCATGTATCCATAGCAGCCCACTCAGCAGCTAGTGTTAAACATTAGTATTTAGCTTACTTTCAAGGGGTTAATTTCAGTGTTAATAAAATAATGATTATTCTTTTCAACAACTGCTTTTATAATTTTTAAGCACACTTGTAAACATTGTTCAGATATGATGATGGATGTGAATGAAATGTTACGTCTCTACTGAATATGGAGTGACGACAAAAATAACAATAACAACAAACATCATGATTAGGAGAAGATGATAATGATAAAAATAAATATAATAACATTCTTAATAATAAAATGAGTACCTATGCATCGAGTTTATTCTTCTGAAACATGCTCACAATGCGTACAATTGTTCCCCGGTATCGGTGAAACTTATCTCCTTGGGGAGTATACTGTTTCAACATTCATCCTTCGGCAGCTTGTTCGGTTGGTGTCAATATAAGCACATTCTTATATCGTTGATGGCGATGTTACAAAAGAAACACACACCAACCAAGATAATCCCATTCCCCGTTCACATGTGTTTTGTGTTCAGGAACAACAACCTCCTCACAATGTAACAGTATTGTGTATAGTTCAGGGAGTATTGTGAAAAACAGTTGTGCAAGATTATGCGAATCCAAATTTAACGAAGACATGTGAGACCGAATGGGGGATTTATGGTGAACACTAAGAACGGGTAGGCCACATCTCAGAGAAATGCAGAAAAATACATATGATAGACTGTACTTTTTCGCTGCTGATTTTGCATTTTGATTAGAAATGCAAATATTGATTGTAAACATATGTTATATTTGGGATTACACATTCACAGGAAAGTACGAATTCTAGTACATCTTTGGGAGGAGTCCGATCTGGGATTCGAAACCACACTCTCACAGTAAGGTTCCAAATCGCCAGCACACAAAGTACTTGACCTAACCACTCAGCCACCGAAGTTTCCACAAATGGGTGTCCGACAACTGGTAGTCTAGATCACCTAAATAATATGTGTAAATATTTATCGGTTAACTAAATGCAAATGTCCAGTTATACATGGTTAACACAATAAAAGAACATGGTATAACATATGTACTTATCAAGTTCATATACATATATGAAAGTCACGTGAAGATCCGGGGAAAAATAGGTCTTCGGGTGGTCAGGCTCGCTGACTTGGTTGATGAATGGCATCGTATCCCAATTACGTGGATCGATGCTCATGATGTCAATCACTGGATTGTCTGGTCCAGACTCGATTATTTACAGACCGCCGTCATATAGCTGGAATATTGCTGAGTGCGGCGTAAAACAACAAACCAACCAACCAATAGTGGATTCTGATGGAGATATTATATCAAGACTCTGTACAATGCTTGCAAAATACCTTTGTGTGCCTTAACAAACAAATCGGCATGTTGACCCTTGATGTAAAAAAGTAATTCAAATACTGGGTTTGTGTATCATTCAGACTCATATATTCCCGCTTGAAATTGGATGAAAATCATAGCTATTTACAGATCCTAAGAAGTTAATAATTGTCTTGCTCTCTGACAGTACTTTTCAATGCTCGTTTTACAAGATAGATTATACGTTGAAATTATTCCAACATTTACCGCACAATATTTGGTATCACCAGGTTTATAATAATATAATATAATAATATGTCCCTTGCGTTTTGATTTCGTGATTGCGCTCTTTGATTGATCATGTGTTTGGTTCCACAATGAGGCATATATATATATATATATATATATATATATATATATATATATATATATATATATATATATAGGTGTTATGAGCATCTCGGTGATGGACTAAGTGAAGTATCATCAGCAAGCAAGACTGCAGGAATATTCATACATATGCAGTCAGTGCACGAATGCCACATCGTTATTGTCTAAGGACTGTAATATGATTATTGATAGACGCAAGAAAAAAGCAAAGATGACTCTGCCTTGGCAAGACCTTGCTGTACAATATATATGTCTGATTAATGACGTGGTAGTTTCCATGTATTAGGTCTAACATCAAGTTCATGTAGTTTGTAAAATATTCCGGCGTGACATATTCAATCGAATGTTGTTTTTCAATATACAAGAAAGCAGAGACTGCAGAGTCCCTTTGTATGTAATACTGAATGCCGTCTATCATGTTAAAAAAAGACATAGGTTGTCCATATCAAGTGTTAACAGTATTAAGTGTTTGCCTTCACCTTTTGGTGTCGAACAATCATACATTAAATGTAGAAAGTGATGCAATACATGAACGTGTTATCATGTTAGGTACTGTTAAGCACTGTTAGGTACTTACATCTGTTACTAATCACTTATTGACCATTGACATTACAGGTAATAGGTCCAACGTTGCGTTTGAAGTATCAAATGAAAAGGCAGGGCACACCGTCCAAGCAAGTCAAATCTTCAAGTTTGACACAGTTACTCTAAACAATGGCGGCGGGTACAACGCTCCTACTGGTGTATTTGAAGCTCCCGTGTCCGGCACCTATCTGTTCTGGGCTAGCATCGCCCCCAAAAAACACATCCACCTGGCTCTGTACAAGGAGGGAACAGAGATGGCGGTCTCACACGCCTCCCATACTGCGAGTCTTACCTATGCCACAGAGGT